TTGGTTTTTTTTTAATGCCGTTTTTGCACATCTTGGGCCTTTTAAGGATGAGGATATTTAACCCCCAGGATTCCCCGGGGAAGCAATGCGGGGTGGGGAATTCTGGGAGTTGAAGTCCACTCATCTTAAAGTGGCCAAGTTTGGACAACACTGCATTAAGACAACACTCAAAGGCATTACAAACTTAACATCTCTTTGTGTAATCCTGATTACCTATATAGCAAAACTCTATTGGTAAAACTAATTCACTAATTCACAGTCGTCTTAAAGGCCATTGTAAAATAACACATCGTTTTGTGTGACTTTTATTGCTTCCTTGCATCATAACAAAAAAGCAGAACTTTACTCAGGCCTGCTGTGAACAAAGGGTTACAATGGCGCTGGAGTGCTTTGTTAAACCCAAAAGTGCATGCCATTCCCATGATGCAATGCCCAACTCATTCTTAAACTATGATTAAGGTTAGATTGCTTCATATATATATATCCAGCAGAGACCTGAACACCTCAATTGTTTTTCTTGTCATGCAGAGGAATCCTTTTTGTTAGAATGGACCAATACATTCATGTTTTTCCCCAATCATCCCACTTCTTCCACTTGTGAATCCTCCACTTCTGGCCTTTGGAAGGGAAGTTGCCATCTTGATAAAGTAGCTAAATTAATCACTGGGAACTTCCAGACAGGATCTTTCCAGCAGTTCAGAAGCTGCTCCAGACCTGTCCAGTCTCACAACACCGTCAGGGTTGAAAACAACGTCAATTTTTTTCTGGCTCTGGGCGGCAAAGTGAATTCCACCACTGGGTCAACGACTGTATGAGGCAACCGAGTGCTACTGAGTCAGCCAAGTGTTCCTCCCAGTGATGCAATTCACCTAGCCACACCTTTCTTTGTTAGTGGAAATAATGTTTAGGGATACATAAAGGCCCTTTTCCACAGGTTCAATACAAGGAGACCAAGATAACTAATTTAGTACACGTCAGCATATTCTAGGATGGGGAAGTCAACTTTTAAAAGACCAAAGAGGAAACAAAGTACAGTTATATATGCAAAAAATGTCAAGTTGAATCATATAAAGCAAAGACATAAATGAGAAATAGGCCCATTGTGTTATGCATGTTTAGAAGTCCAATAACCATCCTTCTGCTGTCTCTACTGCTCCTGTGAGACAATTCCAACCTTCATTTCTCTTTACCTGTTGGCCTGGTGTGGACAGCCCTAATGTCAAGTCCACAATGTCCAACTCCCAGTTCTGAAGCATTCTCACGCAACCAGGCTTGGTTCAGAAAAATACTTCCTTATTACAT